TCAAGAACGGTCTCTCCCAGTCTCTATCTCACATGATTCGTTTTAATTGTGGACTTGATTCAGTCCCTCAGAGAATTAAAAAGCAACTTCCAGCTTAAAAGCCTTAGAAACATCTCATCAGCTCAGGAATGAGCTAAGCTCCCTCAGTGACTTGGCTCTGCCCCATCCCAGCCTCTTTTCTCATTATTCCTCACAGCCCCCACCCTTCCACGGGATCTCCCAAACCCCTAGCCTTTCTAATGATCTTCCTCAGGCTATTTCTAAAACCTCGAATGCCCTTCTTTTTACTCAATGTCAATTTGTTTGCCTGGAAATCTCCACTTGTAAGAGTCGAGTCAAACGGGACCTCTTGCCTGCTCTCTGAGAAGTGAATCACTTCATTTGTAGCCCACAGCGCTTCACACACAGCCTTACACAAGCTTGACTCCAGGAAGTGTCCACAGTGTGGCGAGGATAGTTGGTGGATGTGCATTGGAAGAAATCACGGAGAGAGGGTTGGCTAGAGATGGACCTCCCCAGGTGGTTGAAGGCAGCCAGACCTAACCAGGGGGCTCTGGTCACCTAACCTGGAAGGTGGGACTTTTCATGCCTGATGGGGTGGAAGTGGGTTTATAGTGCCCCCACTCCTTATCATGGCCCACTATTGCCATCTTGGTATGAATCATGTCCAACTTCTAAAAAATATACCGAACAGCAGGTTGAGTAGGCTGAGAGGATGGAGTGGGGAAACTCATTTTTTATTTATTCTCGAGGAAGATCGCTGTTTTAACATTGCCAAGTGTGAGCTATGGTTTCCTTCTTCTATAAATCAACTCCCTCCTCTGGAATAGGAATATTGGATCTATATATTGATCTGCCAGGACGGTTGCCCCTGAAGCCTTTCCTCCATTAGTCACCGGGTTCCTTTCAGGAAAGGAGGCTCACGGAGATGAGTCCCTGGAGAGTTTCTTAAGCTGTGAACAGAGAGCCTCCTCTCTGGCCAGAGGCCACCACGTGTCAGGGGACGCCACCTGTCAACATGAAATTGACTGACACCCCACTGGCCGACCCCAATGACAACAGACAAACCCACTTTCCCAGTGGCTCTAGCAGAACAAAATAGAGAGGAAAGCCACAGGCGGGCTCTCCTAAGAGGTGTCATTCATCAAACTGGACAGTGTTTTGAGAAAGAGAGTCATGATCACACTCAGGGCCAGGGACCCACCCTCCCCAGACCAAGAACTGGATAGAGGCTACCCAGCTGTCCCTAGAAGTGCATCAGCAGTTGCAAGTTTCAGGAAAGATGCAGCTGAATCTTGTCTTCAGTACAGTCTTCCCCCTAAATTCTTCACACAATCAGCAGGCCTGAAATTGCACCAATTGGAGATCCATTTAGCACATAGTGGCTATTAGCCATTCACACTTAGATTCGGTCCATTGTTTTCCCCTTAACACATAACCACAATCCTTTATATCTATATATTTCCCTCTTAACACAGGACCACTAATGGGGAAGTTTGAAGGCTGGAGGCAGATGGACAATGGAATAGGAGAAGTAGGGTGTGGAGACTGAGCACTGAGCAGGGAGAAGCAGGCTGGAAGTGCCTCAGCCAGCCGCAGTTTAGGAGGGTCCAGTGCAGGAACAGAAGGGGGGACTGTGCGTAGAGCTGAGAGGCCCACAGACCCGAGAGCTACATATAGTTCTTCTCCTTGAAATTTCTACAACCTGGGATAGCCGCTGTGAGCAGGGCTATGTTCAGCACAGCCTCCATAGAACCACTGAAATATCACAATGCTGGCCACCAACTCTACATCTGAAATCATTGGGTCCAGATGTGTTCCAGAAATCAGAATTTTTCCAGATTTCAGAAAGGCTATACAGCACAGTAACCATGCCCATCACATTCCATCCCTTGGGACCACAGTAGTTAGGGAACACATCGTTTTCGGAGCTTTTCGTATTCCCAAATTGTAGAGGCTGTATTTCTGCACTAGTTGGTGAACCCATGGGCTCTCCCATCCTTGAATGTCCTCCCAAAACTAAAGTTTTTGCCTGGCACAGCGGGAGGCCCTGAGCGACTCTTCTGGTTGCTCGCCTCGGAATGACGTTGGAAGCTGGGGATTCTGAATGTCCACAATCCTGAGCAGAAGCATGAGTGATTTTTTCTGGGATTTGCTCTTTTTTGTCTGTGGCTTAGTTTTTAGTTCTGTATTTTTTCCCCAGTCCATTGGTTTTTACTTTCACGTGTGATGCCGGGCCTTGGAGAGCTAACAACGTGACATTATAGTCTGAAGGCTGCAGGTCCATTTGGTCTCTGTCGTTAACTAGCACTGAGACTTTGGTAGGAGCCCTGGTGGTGTAGTGGTAACACATGGGCTGCGAACAGAATGGTTAGCAGTTCGAAACCAAGAGTGGGCATTCTACTCCATAAACAGTTTACAGTCTCCGAAACTGTAAGGGGCTCACTATGAATCAGCATTGAGTTTGGGGTTCTCTTGGAGACTTTGGGTATCCCAGTGGCACCCTCCCTCTCCCCACCCCCTCTGAGGCTCAGTGTCCAGACTGTGAAATAAGACTCGTGTGATTGTCAGGAAGATTGAATGAAGCAATTTGGGGGTTGGTGTGCTTTATACTGCAAATTGCTTACGTAAACATCAGATGCTCTGATTGCTACCCCAGCATTGTTAGGACAAGGAAAGAGAACCGTGTCTGTGAAAATTCCATAAGCACTTTGCATTATACACGAGGAGCATTGGATTATCATTGTCAACCTGCCACCGCAGGTGCGGATCTGGCTTCTCAGGATTGAGAGGACAGCCCACACAGTGAGGCCCAGAAGAACATAGTCCCTACCAAACCCTCCACCCAATTACCTGTCGCAACCCCACCCCCAGCTGTGACGTAGCTTCTTGACAGAGGGGACAGACAGAAGGAGCCGAGAGCCCTCCTTAGGGCCTCGCCTTGGAAAGGAACTATAGAAGGAGTTGCCCAAGGGAGCAGCCTTAAAGGCACTTGACCACCACCTATCTCTTCTGAGGGCCCCTCCACCTGCCACAGCCCGCCGTGGTTCCCACAGCCCTGGGTAGTCCGAGCACCGGGCGGTGGGATCCCACAGCTCTGGATAGTCAGACACCCCTCTGTACCCGAGCCCTCTGTAGCTCCATCTCCTGAGCCGCCCCCTTGAGCTCTCGGATGTACCCTCTCCCCAGAGGAGAGGCCCGGGTGGTGCCACTGATGGTGCCACTCACCATGAATCGAAAGATTCACTGGCTCAAATCCACCAAGAGGGACCATCGCAGAAAGGCCTAGTCACCCTTGAGAACCCAGGGAGCACAGTTCAAAGGGGATCCGAAGCACAGGAAACCCCCGTGAGTCGCAATGGACGTGATGGCAACTGGCTTACCGCATAGGCTGGTGGAGAGAACTCTGCGAGACACCCTCTCTAAAACCCCTTGGTCCCCCCCGGGGGATGCACCACTCCCATGAGAAGCCATCGTGGGCTCTGGAACCTGAGGGCTGATGGATGCTCAGACGCGGAGATTTTCACTGTAATGGGACTGAGCTGCCAAATGGGGCTGACGAGGTCCACAGCCCTCCCTGCACGGGCTCAGGAAGGCAAGACGTAAAACTTCGCCCCCTTGATGTAAAACTTCGCCCCCTTGCCACGTTCCCCCTCCCGGCCTGGATGGACAATGACAAGGTACTGTGGAGAGTGATCCGATGGAATCCTCAGTCCTTGGGTCATCATGAGTTATTTTTTTCTGTGCTCTGCTCTTTTTTTTTTGCATAGATTTTAGTTCTGGATTTCCACGGTCTATTGATTGACCTTCCACGGGTGATGCTGGGCCCTGGAAAGCTAACAGCATGGCCTTTTACAGGATTGACATTGTGTGTTTTAACCGCAAGCAGCTGGGCCCACAGCAAAACTGGGCTCATGTGGTGCATGCCTGGGAGGCGGAAGGAGTTGATGAGGATGCTCTGGGCATTGCTCGGAAAGAGGCCACACTTGCTCTGGCCAGACTGCAACGGGCTAGATGGAGACACCTAATCTTTCCTCTCGGCACTCTCATTGCATTTTCTAACGTGTGTGACTGACTTCCTTTGTTAGCGAATTATTAAAATCAGGAAGAAAGGCTTCCCAGACTCCTCATTGTACAAAGCCTTCAAATTCAATGCGTGACTGTCTCAACATGATTTTGTGCCAGTGCCCATAGTGCAGCAAGAAATGGCTGTTAGGTGGTTTCTACTTTTTAATCTTTCCTCTTTATTAAATCCTACTATCCTTTCTGCCCTGCTAGAATACTGCCTTTGCATGGATGAAGAGAAGGGCCCTTCCTGCAGGAAGCAGTGGCCCCCAATTAGAATCCATGATTTCTCTTTTCTCTGCCCAACTTGCATCCCTGAATCAAGGGTAATTTGGCAAAATCTGGAATGTGGGGATGAAACAATTTACAACTCCGTTGGGGTCTTATTTGAGAGTGATTATGCTTAAGACTGCATGACAATTTTGGGTTTTTTGCCTTTCCTTTCGCCCAAGTTAATGTGTCTGCCCTCTAGTTACTGATGACATCCTGTAAATCATGAGTTTGCCTTTAAGGATGATACCAGAACAATTCAGAAATTTCAGGGCAGCCTATAAAAACCAGACCCACTCCAAAGAGTCTCCTAGTTCATTTCAAACCTTCACTTCAATGTCTTTTTATATCTGTGCAACACTTCCTTCAAGGAGAAAATATATACACCTTGTAATGACGTCTGCTTCATGATCACTTCGTGGTACAGGCACACATGCCCTGTCTTATGGAACAGCGCAGCACTAATATTCGGAGACGTCGATACTCCGCCAAAGCTTCAGATTCCCTTCAACCCAGGTTGGAGGACGCCAGCACAATTGCCTAGGTTTCTCTCCTGCTTGGGGTTTTGTTGTCACTGTTTTGGCTTAACATTTGCCTGTGGCATTGGGGATGGTCTATGACAAGTTACTGGGAAAACGAATGAATGACTTGTGTTGTCTCTCCAGTCCCAAGGGGCAGGTTCTCCGCGTTCCTCTCCCAGCCACACCATCAGCAGGCCAATCCCCATGCCCATCCGGTCAGCGTCTGCCTGCTCCACCCCGACGCACACGCCTCAGGACTCTCTTACCGGGGTTGGGGGAGATGTACAAGAGGCCTTTGCACAAAGTAAGTGGCTTTGGTTCGTGGTGTAGGGGGTATTCTATAGCTATGTGGAAAATAAGTCATGGAGATGTATTGAGTAGTTGAGTTATCAGTTACCCGGAGTATAATCTAGGGTGTTATGTGGCTCTCTTAGATCTAAACCTCTTATCCCAATCTCTAAGGAGTGCTGGGGGTGCTGTGGGATAAGTGTTTGATGATAACTACAAGGTCTGTGGTTCGAACCCACCAGCTGGAGATACAGCTGTCTGCTCCCAAAAGATTTACCACCTCAGAAATCCCATAGGTGGTCACTATGGGCCAGGACTGGCTCAGCGGCATAGGTCCTAGGTATAGGTTCTTTCTACGGGCCTGCCTCATTTTGCTGAGAGCCTTCACTCAGGACGGGAAACTATTCCACCATGCTCTTGGGAAACTTGATGAATACAATTTGTTTTGGAATCCTGATACAGCTCCTAATTTCCTGCTATATTCTCTTTATATTAAACTCAAGACTAAGATGGAACAATCCCAGGGTTTTTGAGTCACCTGACAGCATCCCTGTTCAGATGCCCAGAAGAGTTGGCTCCTTGTCTCTGTACTACAGGGCTGCCAGGTTAGGCCTTCATTCTGGCAGGGGGCGGGGGCGCACAACAAACAGGAGATGACAGGCTGTATCCTCTCACTGGTGGCCTCTTCCATGGACACCTGCTGGGTACCCCAACTGGAGCCCTAATGTTGCTGTCCAGTAAGCATTGAGCTAACCAAGCGGTGGGCAGTTCAAACCCAGCACTCGCTCTCTGAGACAAACATGAGGCTGTCTGTTCCTGTAAGGACTGCAGTCTCAGAACCCTCGGAAGCAGTTCTACTGCCCTAGAAGGGTCACAGTGAGATGGAATCCACTCCGTGGCAGTGAGTAGGTTTCAACGACTCCAAACGAGCCCTGATGGTGCAGTGGGTGGGATGGGGGTCGCTGACTGAAAGGCAGGTGGCTGGAGCCCACCAGTCCCTTCATGGGGGAATCTGAGGCAGTCCATCCAAAGGAAACCGTCCAGGGTTGCGCTCTCTGTCCTGTTGGCATGCACTCCCCCATTGCAGTGGCTCTATTCATTTGAAAATGTTTAACTTGTTTTCTTGTTATCACTGTGAACGTTTATAAAGTAAGCAAAAACTAATCCTCCTGCAGAGTCCCACCCCTCCAGTCTCACTCAGAGCAGTCATTACTAAGTTCACGTGTGCTCTCTGCCAGCATTTGCTTAAGTGCAGTTACAGAGGGGTAAGTACATGGTAATACACACATGTTCCTTATTTTCCCATTCATCAGATCGGGAGTTACTGTGTTCTGCACTTTATATTTTCTCAATTACCACTATGTCACGAATATTCTTCCTGGTCTTCACATTTCTTAGGAAAAAAGAGACATGTGTAAGGACTGCTTTTTTTTTAAATCATTTTATTAGGGGCTCAGACAACTCTTATCATAATCCATACACACATCAATTGTATAAAGCACATTTGTACATTCATTGCCCTCATCATTCTCAAAACATTTGCTCTCCACCTAAGCCCCCGGCATCAGCTCCTCATTTTATCCCCTCCCTCTCCCTTCCCCCCTCCCTTATGAACCCTTGATAATTTATCAATTATTATTTTGTCATATCTTGCCCTGTCTGACGTCTCCCTTCACCCACTTTTCTGTTGTCCATCTCAAAGGGAGGAGGTTATATGTAGATCCTTGTAATAAGAAAACAATATCCCCACAACTAAACAAAGTGAACAATAGAATAGAAGAAGAATAAATATAGTTAATAAATAATTTTTAAAATAGAGGATAATAAAATGACAAGAAAAGTATGAACACATATTCAATTTCACAAATAATAGTAGATGTACACATTTTAACAAATGCCACTTCTTGCCCACCAGATTAAAAGTAAAAGAATTATAATAGTGATGATATACAAAGATACCAAGAATATGGGAAAATAGACCTTCTCAGCCATTGTGCATGGAGGGAGGGCATCAGAATAAATTATAAAAGGGCAGAATGAGGACCCTTTGTTCTGTTATAAAAAAAAGAGGATTCATCCTAGGGGGTTTTCTTAAGAACAATGAAATTAACTCAAGATTTTTGGATATTAACAAAATAACTTTCTTTTAAAAGGTAGGGGGAAATGCCCTGTACTTCGACCATATTTTGAATAAATTTGCTGTGTTTTCAGTCATTTGAACTTTTATATTAAGTAATGTTCTACCTACTTAAACTTTTAAATTTTAACTGTATTTATTATTTTAATTATTACTTCCTGAGAAATAACAGAAGTATCGATTATAAGCACAAAAAGTTTGTGCCACCTAAGTTCATTTGCACATCAGTTACTTGAAACCTCGAACGCTTTACTCCATAGTTATAGTGCTGATCCGCCCTCTGCGCTATCTTCACCAGGTCCCACTCCCATCCCAACCCTCAAGTAACCACGAAACCTTGAAACATAGTCATAATTCCTCCCTACCGAAGTGGGAGAGAGATGAGGCTGTCTAGCCTCAAGAAGATGTAAAGTCTTAGAAACTCACAGGGACAATTCTGCTCTGTCCTATAGGGTCACTATTGGTCAGAGTCAACGCCATGGCAGTGAGCAGACTTCAGAGAAACACATTCTAAGTTTCAATTTGGGATACCGGACATATAGAGAGAGATGCCTGTGTTAGTCCGGGTTGACTAGAGAAACAAATCCAGGGATACTCCTGTGTGTGTCAGAAAGAGCTTTATACAAAGAGTAATTGTCTATTAAGAAAACATCCCAGTCCAGTCCAAAGCAAGTCCATAAGTCCGATATTAGCCCATATGTCCGATACCAGTCTATAAATTCCTCTTAGGACTCACGCAACACATGCAGTGATGCTGAATGCAGGAAGATCACAAGCCAGTGGGTGGAAAGTCTTGTGGACACAGTGGTGGTGGAAGCATCTCAGCACTGGTGTGGGTCTCCATGTGGCTCCTCTAGTTCCAGGGCTCTGGCTCCATCAGCATAGCTCCATGTGGCTTGTCAACAGGAATGTCTCACAAGGAGAGTGTGTGTGTCCCACCTCCCAGGGGGAAGACAGGAGTTCCCAGATTCCTCAAGAGAAGGCCATGCCCACACAAAGGCCTCATTGGCTATGACCTAAATGACAGGCTAGAATCCACCCCTTCACTCAAGTTGACAGTAGATTGTGTAACTGCCACAATGCCCGTGTCTTGGCATCAGGAGCATGAATCCATGACCCTTTCCACACCAATGGTTACTTGGTACACAGGTCCTCCACTCCTGAAAAACAAACTAAACCAGTTGCCACTGAGTTGGTTACAACTCATGACAACCCCATGCGTGTGGAGGTTTTCTGTGGCTAATTTCTCCTAGGCAGATCACCCGGCTTTTCTTCTGCTTGAATTCAAACTCCCCACCTTTCTGTTAGCGCCTGAAGCTCTTAGCCATTTCCAGCCCCAGATTCTTGTTTCCCATACCTCAGAGGTACCTAGAATGGTACTACAGAGTGCTCCAGGAGTCTGATAGGGTGCAGAGCCTGCGTGTGGATATCCAGTGTGTCCTGCCACCGAGGAGTGGAAACGAACCGCACAGCTCTTCTGGCAAACCCAGACATTACTCCGTGCAGGTTTTTCATAAGTCAAATGATCACAATGTACCCAGGGCTGTTCCGGTTTGCCCTAGGGGATGTCATCTTACTAACCATGCCCCATGCCAATGTTTAGAATTGTTCTGAGAGTCCTATTAATCACAATCATCAAAGATGAAAGCCACACAAGTGTCTTGTCACCGATGGATAAATAAATAAATTGTGCTGTATGTAACACAATGGAAGATTACTTAGTCATAAGGAGAACTTAAATTCTCATAGAGGCTATGATTTGACTGAATCTTGAAAACATTGTAGCTGCTGTCCAGGAGCTCTAAGTCACAGTAACCCTGTGTCCAAGAACAGGAAACACTGCTCGGTCTCCTGCCGTGCTCACGGTGGCTGTTAAGTTTGAGCCCCTTGTTGCAGTTACCAGGTCGAACCATCGGGTTGAGGGTCTTCCTCGTTTTCAGTGACCTTCTACTTCACCAAAATCGTGCCCTTCTCCGGGCGCTGGATCTTCCTGGTAACATGTCCAAAGGACTAGAGATCAAGTCTCAGCTTCTCAGGAGCATTCTGGATGGACTTCCTCCAAGACACGTTTGATGAGTCTTCTGGCCCATGGTACTTTCAGTATTCTTCACCATAAATCAAGTGCATCAGTTCTTCTTTGGCCCACCTGAGCCCTTGTCCAGCTAGCACATGTGTAGGAGGGGACTGTAAACATGTGTAGGAGGTGACTGCAAACACCATGGCTTGACTCCAAGCCCACCTTCATCCTCAGAGTCACCTCTTTGCTCTGTCATACTTTAAAGAGGACCCACGCAGCAGATTTCCCCAAGTCATCTGTTGCTTGATACCTTAACTGCCAGGCTGCTCTCCGAAGCATGGATGGTGGATCCAAGTAAAATGAAATCCTTGACCACTTCAATCTTTCCTCTGCTTATTGTGATGTTTTCTACTGGCCCACAATGAAATAAACCAGACATGAAAGGACAGATGTCGCATGATCTTACTGACATGAAATTCAGAATAGGAAAATGCCTAGAGTTTTTCAGTGGTTGCCCAGGGTTGGGGAAGGGTTCATTTCCAGGCAACTTTGATAAAGCAAATGTGGCAATAAAGCGAGTTACATGCATGTTGGTGCGTCCCAGTGCATCTAAAATATCTAATAGCATGATGAAAGAAATCCCTGAAATGTTATGACTCCAAAATATGACACAGAAATATGAAGTGAGCACCTGCTGTTTAAAAATCACACCAATAGACTTGTTTGATGGAGAGTTGTCATAAACCTACAACTGGTTAAAAAAAACACCACCTCTGCGAGAAAATGAGGCACCGAGCCACATGGTGCGCCCGCTCTGAGTTTCTGTGGGGAAGTGAGAATGGTTGGAGGTGGGTAGTGGCAACGGTTCTGCGGCATGGTGAATGTAATTAACATCCTGAATGGTAGCTTTCGTGGGTGAAATGGCAACATTCTGCTGTATATCTTGTGCCATGATAACTGTTTTAATTCCTTGATTTGGGCAGTAATTTTATGCACACCTATTGTATTAGTCTGGGTAGACTAGAGAAACAAATCCATGGACACACATATGTGTATAAAAAAGAGATTTATATACAAGAGCAATTGAACATTGAGAAAACATCCCACCCCAGTCCAGTCTAAGGCCACAAATCTGATATTAGCCCATATGTCTGATACCAATCTATAAAGTCCTCTTCAGACTCAGGAAACACATGCAATGAAGCCAAATGCAGGACAATCACAAGCCAGTGGGCAGGAAGTCTTTGGATCCAGTGGCGCTGGAAACATCTCAGTGCTGGCAGGGGTCTCTCTGTGGCTTCTCCGACTTCCGAGGTCTGTTTGCGTCTATATGGCTTGTCTTCTGCAAATGTCTCCAAGGGAGTGGCAGAGAGAGAAGTGTCTTCCGCCTCCAAGGAGGAAGTACCAGATTTCCCAGAATTCTCAGGAGAAGGCCATGCCCACACAGAAGTCTCATTGGCCATCTCCAGATTGACAGCCTAGACTCCACCCCTACCCTACACACTTAATCCTTCGACTGACACCAGATTAGGTGACTACCACAGCTGTCAATCATCATCCCTGCCATCGGCGGCCGGCCGGGTCACTAGGTTCATGCAGGTGTGCTTTCTCTAGCAAAGGAGTAAAAGCATTTTTCCTGGGAACTCTTTGAAGTCTTCTTGTTTTAAGATGTCAATGGATATGGTTACCATAACAATACAATCATTTCAAAAGGAGGGGGGAAAAACTTCAGGTTTTAAAAATCATGATTATCATTTCTTCTTAAGGTTCAAGAAGGAATTTAAGGAATGACTTGCTGGTGGCAGCAGACTCCATCACGAATACCATGTCCTCTCTTGTGAAAGAGCTCAATGCCGGTGAGTCCCTGGTCCCTCCACGGGCTGCTCCGGGCAGAAGGAGCCCCGCATTCAAGGGGCGGGGAGGGTGCTCTATTGGAAATCTGCTCCTTGTCACCCACAAAAAGAAAGACATCTGAAAGATCGACATGACACGCTGTCAGTGTGGTCAGATATTTTTTGGCCATTCACTCTTTGGAAGGCGGTTAACATTTGTGTGTGCTCACGGCAGCAAGTTAGGGAAATGCAGAAAATAATCAAAAAACGGAATGGTAACAACCCCACCCCACCCCCACCTGGGTTGAGCAGGGAGGAAATGCGACATCATGTATCAGGGATGTCACACAGCTCCTGATTGCTGTCCGTGGCAGACCCTGTGGACAAGCTACTAGATAACACGGAGTCCATGGAAACAAAAGATCTAATCTGGAGCTGCTCAGATGGCAAAGATCTTAAATCGAGAACACTAAAGCAAATGCATCATTCATCTACACTGGCCCTTACGACCTTGTGACTATCTACCAGTGCCTCGGGCACTGGCTACGGGCAAGCCGCCCTGTACACTTTCTTGTCTTTCGCAAAAGTATCGCCACTCACTGACTGGGTGGTTTAGGTCACCATGTGTGCAGCCCCTTCATTCCCAGGTCATAAAACTCTGACGAGCCATTCTCTATTTCCCTGTGGTACCTGGTAGAGGTGGGAAGTGAAAGGGAGAGCAACGTGGATTCGGAATTCGCCAGGACTCAGTTTGAGGATCTGGTCCCTTCGCCGACCTCTGAGAAGGCCTTCCTCGCCCAAATCCACGCCCGAAAACCCGGGTACCTGCACGGCGGGGCTGCCACAAGTACCCTGCGCACTGACATGTGAGTATCCTCTACTTGGGGCTGTTTTTGGTAACAGAATTCTCGGGAGGGAGCAGTCCAAAGATTAACAGGGAGGAAGCGTCATCTCATAGTCCAGACTGAGTCGAGGCAGTTTCCCTGTCCGCCAGAAGAGGTAGACGTGCCCTGTATTTAAATTTGGCCTTTCTGCCTTTTCTTCTTACAATTTCCAGCAAGTGTCAATGGCTTAAACCAGCCATGACGCTTGTGAACCGGTTCAGAGGGCGCCTTGGTGGCCCAGGGAGGAAGTACTCTGGGAGGGTCGGTTCGAAACCACTCAGCTGTAGACACACGGGTGGCAATCTGTTTCTGTTCCGAGATCACAGCCTGGGAACTTGGCTGGGCCGTTCTCCATGGTGCTATTGGGCTGCGGTGGGCTGGAACCAACGCCGTGCCAGTGGCTTGGGTTGGGGGTTTTAGGTGACACAGGAGGGACCCTGGTGCCATGGCAATGTCTCCAGCAGCTCACGGGAGAAAGGCCTGGCAACCCGCTTCCCTAAAGATTAGATAACTTAAAAAACATCCACTGAGAGCACTTCCCCTTCACACCAAGTCAAACTCCTCCCACCAAGTTGTTTCTGACTCACGGTGAGCGTCTAGGAGTTAGAATAGAAATAGGAATAGAAAGCCTCCTCTCTCTTCCTCTGATTGGCTGATGGTTTTGGACTGCTGACATTGTGGTTGGCAGTCCACAGCTTACCCGACGGCACTACCAGGTTCTTAAACCCCAAACTCACTGCCATGGAGTCAGTTCGGCGCTATAGCCGCCCTAAAGAACAGGTAGAGCTGCCCGCCTGAGTTTCTGA